GCTTAAGAAATTTAATTTCAAGTTTCAGGGGAAAAATAGATTTATTGCTATAAGAGCCCGGGCTCAATCTAAAAGATGGAGATGCCCTCTGAATGTCAATACAAAGGGTATAAAATTTTTCCCCATGACGGGTCCCAAAAGGAAAAGGGGTGGAGTAGCGAAATATGTCAGAGACAATTTAAAAATTTTTTGTGTTAGACAAATGTTAAATTAGAAGCGTAGCCCCTGAATTGTTTGGTTACGCTTCTCAGGGGCCTGAAAAACAATTTTGGGGGTGATTTACAGGGGCCCCCAAAAATTGATAGGGAGTGCATAAACTTCATGGGACGAAAATTTTAAGGGCCCTTACATACGAAAATTTTGTGCTAATGGGAGATTTCAACTATAGACAGATTGACTGGGCAATTTGACGGGGAAATTTAGAGTCAGGGGACTTTCTTGATCGATCGGATTGTTTTTTTAAAAAATTTGTGACAGAGCCCAATAGGGGGAAAAAATCTCCTTGACTTGGTTCTTGCCCGAGGGAAAAATAATTAAAAATCTTGAGGTTATGTACTTGGGGGAAAGTGTCAAAATCACTCAGTTTTAATATATCATGGAATTCCCCTAATAATGGCAATCAAATCTCCGTCCCCGACTTTTGCTTGGCTGATTTCATAGGACTGAAAAATTACTTAGGTGGGCTGAACTGGAATGACCTGACTAAGGGTCAGGTAGGTGGTGATGGTTGCCGATATGATGCTTTCCAGGGCATAGTTCTAGCTGCTCAGTCAAATTATGTTCCAAATAGGGAAATCAGATCAAACAAAAATGTTTCCTAAATGGATGAACAATAGATTAAAATATCTGATTGGTCAAAAGAGAGGCTATATAGGCAAATCAAAAAGGAGAGGGGCAATTGAGAAATCGATATATTCAGTTAAAGAGAGAAATAAAAAAGGGAATTAGAAAAGCAAAAAGAGATTATGAGGTTAAAGTTGCAAGAGAATCGAAGACTAACCCAAAAGGATTCTTTCAGGTAAACAGAAGTAAGATCAGGGACAAGATAGGCCCACTCAAAAGTTCCTCGGGTCAGCTCACTGACAGTGATAAGGAAATGTGTAGAATTTTTAACACATACTTCCTCTCAGTTTTTACACAGGAGGATACCAGCGATATTCCAGTAATGATAAATTATGTAGAACAGGACGATAATAAACTGTGCACTATTAGGGTCACTAGTGACATGGTCCTTAGGCACATAGATAAATTAAAACCTAACAAATCCCCAGGCCCTGATGAACTGTATGCAAGGGTTCTAAAGGAATGTAAAGAGGAGCTTAGCACACCTTTGGCTAATCTTTTCAACATATCACTACAAACTGGCATGGTGCCAGATAAGTGGAAAATGGCAAATGTGATACCTATTTTCAAAACAGGTGACAGGTCCTTAGCTTCGAACTATAGACCAATAAGCCTAACCCCCATAGTGGGAAAATTTATGGAATCAATAATTGCCGAGGCAGTTCGTAGCCACTTGAAAAGCATAAATTAATCAACGAATCTCAGCATGGTTTTACAAAGGGGCGTTCCTGCCTTACGAATTTATTAACTTTTTTCACTAAGGTATTTGAGGAGGTAGATCATGGTAATGAATATGATATTGTGTATATGGACTTCAGTAAGGCTTTTGACAGGGGCCCACATCAGAGATATTGAGGAAAATTAAAGCACATGGAATAGGAGGAGAAATTTTTTCCTGGATAGAGGCATGGTTGACAAATAGGCAGCAGAGAGTTTGCATAAATGGGGAGAAATCAGAGTGGGGAAGTGTCACGAGCGGTGTTCCACAGGGGGCAGTGTTGGGCCCCCTGCTGTTCACAATCTACATAAACGACATAGATGAGGGCATAAGAGCGACATCGGCAAGTTTGCGATGACACCAAAAAAGGCCGTCGAATTCATTCTGACGAGGGCATTCGAGCACTCCAGGAAGATTTGAATAGACTGATGCAGTGGTCGGAGAAGTGGCAGATGCAGTTTAATATAGACAAATGCAAAGTTCTAAATGTTGGACAGGACAATAACCATGCCACATATAAACTAAATAATGTAGATCTTAATATTACGGATTGCGAAAAAGATTTAGGAGTTCTGGTTAGCAGTAATCTGAAACCAAGACAACAGTGCATAAGTGTTCGCAATAAAGCTAATAGAATCCTTGGCTTCATATCAAGAAGCATAAATAATAGGAGTCCTCAGGTTGTTCTTCAACTCTATACATCCTTGGTTAGGCCTCATTTAGATTATGCTGCACAGTTTTGGTCACCTTATTACAGAATGGATATAAATTCTCTGGAAAATGTACAAAGGAGGATGACAAAGTTGATCCCATGTATCAGAAACCTTCCCTATGAGGATAGACTAAGGGCCCTGAATCTGCACTCTCTAGAAAGACGTAGAATTAGGGGGGATATGATTGAGGTGTATAAATGGAAGACAGAATAAATAAAGGGGATGTAAATAGTGTGCTGAAAATATCTAGCCTAGACAGGACTCGCAGCAATGGTTTTAAGCTGGAAAAATTCAGATTCAGGAAGGATATAGGAAAGTACTGGTTTGGTAATAGAGTTGTGGATGAGTGGAACAAACTCCCCAAGTACCGTTATAGAGGCCAGAAACGTTGTGTAGCTTTAAAAATAGGTTGGATAAATACATGAGTGGATGTGGGTGGGTGTGAGTTAGACCTGATAGCTTGTGCTACCAGGTCGGTTGCCGTGTTCCTCCCTTAAGTCAATGTGACGTGACCTGACTAGGTTGGGTGCATTGGCTTAAGCCGGTAGGAGACTTGGACCTGCCTCGCATGGGCCAGTAGGCCTTCTGCAGTGTTCCTTCGTTCTTATGTTCTTATGTTCTTATTTGCCATTTTCCACTTATCTGGCACCATGCCAGTTTGTAGTGATATGTTGAAAAAATTAGCCAAAGGTGATGGTTACACATATATTAGCAGAGTGTGAGAGGGGAGAAGCCCAACCTGTCTGTGTTGATCGTGGACCTAAGCATGGAGAACTGAGAGAGTTACAGCGATTCTCACGCACACATGCGCATCACGTGACGTCACACATGGTAGTCGCTGTGCCTATTGAAAGGGAGCCTAAATATATACATGGATGATACGATCTATAATATACTACACAAGTATAATATAGGGAATTCCGTAGCTATACTGACATTGCAACCTCCGTGTGTCGTCAGGAGCAATGCAATGTTTCATTGCTATATATATATATATATATATATATATATATATATATATATATATATATATATATATATATATATATATATATATATATATATATATATATATGTATATATGTATATATATATATATATATATATATATATATATATATATATATATATATATATATATATATATATATATATATCTAATGGATATGGTATTAGGTACATCCAAGATTGAATGATAGCATCATATAGTTGCAGCACTGCAGATCTGTTAACCGCACATGTATGCTGCAAATTTGTTCCACTACATCCCAAATGATTAAACCAAATTCTGACTCAATCATGTCTGCTGCAGCAGAAATCGCGATTGACAAACCAGGTGGCATTTTTCCAGTCTTTACATTTTCAGTTTTGGTGAGCCTGTGCCCACTTTAGCCTTAGTATTCTGTTCTTAGCGGTAATGAATAGATCACGGTGTGGTCTACTGCTGCTTTATCCTCTCCAATTCAAGGTTCAATAAGTAGTGATTTCATATATCCTCTTCTGCATACCACTTTTATAATGCATGGTTATTGAAGTTACTGTCGCCTTTCTATCAACATGAACTAGTCTGGCCAGTTTCTTCCGACTTCTTCTAACAAGGCGTTTTCGCCCAAAGAATTGTAGCTAACTGGGTGATTCATATTTTTCACACCATTATCTGTAAACTCTAGCCTGTTGTGCATGAAAATAAAAAATAAAATAACGGGAAATTACCAATTTCTGAGATATTCAAACACCCATTCTGGCACCAGCAATCATTTCATGGTCACATCTCTTTCCCTTTCTGATGTTTAGTGAGATCCTAACCTCGTGACCATGTCGGCATACAAAATTTTAGTCAATGAGGAGCTGCCACGTGATTGGCTGATTATATATTGTATATTTACATTAACGAGGAGCAAAAGTATACCTAGTGAAGGTTTCGATTTTGATATTACTTGCTAAGTCAATATATCCAGTGTCGAAGATTCGACGATCCTGATCACCATTTACTGAAGTGGCTAGTTTTTCTTGTGCATCTTCCGTCCATCCTATAGACGGTAAGGCAGGAACACAGGGACACACTAAACCCTCATGAACAGTTTTATATTCCATCGTTAATAACCATTTCTAGAGAACTTGAGCAAAATATCTGATATTATTTTTTACAATACTCAAGCATATAAATGAGACTGAGGTGCAACTTGGGATACTCTTGTGAGGATATACTTCATGCACCGAAGGCGGATGATCATATATTTCAACTACCATAATTTTTTCAGTCCCATGGCGGGACAAATCTGGAGATCATAGTATAATGCAAATGTTGTAAACAGCATTTAGCACGAAGCTTTGGTGAGGGGCTAGTACAACACTATGGGATCAGCAGATGCCACAAAACAGCTCTGAGCAAATAAAACGAAGGAGCAAGTGGCATGAAGATGGGGTCAGCAAATGGCATAAAGATGGGTCAGTAGAGAGCATAAAGATGGGATCAGCAATAGGGTGGGATTAAATTATGGGCTTTAGGTAAGGGTGCAGCTCAGTGGCCTCCGTCATCCCAGAGATTATGTGAAAAGTGTTGACAGTTACTGCTGTAAGTTTATAATTACAGTATGTTATTACATCGCGTATATGATGAACTGTTGACTGAGTGATTATTTTTTGACAGATTTAAGAGTGGATCTCTAAAGGAGCCTCACAGTACATGTAGCCCAGAAGCCTATAGAATCATAATCCGGATCTGATCAGCAGTTGGCATAAAGATGGGGGTCAGGATATGGCATAAAGATGAGGTCAGCAGATGGAGTAATGAAGGGCTCAGCAGATGGCATTAAGATGGAGTCAGTATATGGCATATAGATGGAGTCAGCAGATGGCATAAAGACGGTGTCAGTAAATGGCACGAAGCTTAAGTCATTATATACAGTAGTACAAAAGGTGGGGTTATATATACAGTAGCACAAAGGTGGGGTTAGCAAGAGAACACAGCTTGAATTATCAGTGTGTCTTGTGGCCCAATTCTAACCTAAACGTTGTCATAAGGTTTTCTCTCTCCTATGTACGTGTTGTTTGTGTCTTGAATTATCAGACAGGATAAAGATAGTGTCATCAGATATGACAACGTTCATACTATAGGATAAAGCTTGAGTCATCAGATTGGACTAAGCTTTATCATATATCCTTTGGGCTGCAGATAGGATAAAGATTTATTCATATTCCTGCACTAAGCTTGGTTAAGCAAATAGGACAGAGCTGGAGTACTTAGGTAGGACAAAATTAAATCAGCATATTGCGCACAGGAGTATTCGTATCTCAAAGCTGAGATCATCAGATGAGACGAAGCTTGGGTAACGAGACAAAGGAGTGGTCATCACATGGGACAAATCGTGAGTCATTAAAGGGGAGAAATCTGATGTTATTAAATAGGGCAAAGCTAGATGTATCACGTATGAAACAACGAGCCATCACATGGGACACAGCTGGAACTATTACACTGAAAACGCTGTAGTTATCACATTCAGCAAAGCAGGAGTTATCACGTGGGTCAACTATAGTTATCACACAGGAAACAACTAAAGTAATCACATGGGGACACAAATGGTGTTAGCATTTTGGACACAACAGGAGTTATCATATGTTGCACAACTTGAAACAGCAAGTTGTGCAGTACTATCGTTGATACATTTATTCATAAGGGACACCTGGAGGAGGTTACCTGAATAATTTCTTGCTTTTCCTCTTCCTCCAAATTATTGTTTTTATTTCACTCGTGTGATGAATCAGCTTCAAATTTTCAACATTGGTGTATGATAACTAATGCAAGACTCATCCAGCGTTATCAGAGACCATTCCAAGTTTCCTGGAATGATTTCGATAATTTTAAAGAACCTGTTATGCTTGGCTTCAAGCAATCATAAACGATGTATCCTAATTACGCGAGAGCAAGGAGTGAAACTGAGGTGTGTCGGTGCGTACAATAATTAATTGTTTAGGGTGTAAAATGTAGTTTTTCCCAGGTAAATCTCCTTAAACATAATAAGTAAACGTCTTAGGAACGGCTTTATTTTTAATTGCCGTTGCATCTTATAAATTGAATTCAACTCAGTAAGTTTATATTGTGTACGAGGAAATCTGTCTCCATACTAACAGAGCTAAAGAACACAGAAGTCCTGGAATCCTGCACACAGGAAAAGGCCTATCCTGATACCTTCAAGCATTTAACACTGGAGTGTTATCCTGCTTTTAATTCTACCCACCACTAGAGCTAATTCTACCCACCACTAGAGTTAATTCTACCCACCACTAGAGTTAATGCCTCGTTTTAAGTTATGACATAGCATTTCTGACGACGTTTGGGTTTAGTGGAAAAATTTAAAAATATAGACTGGAGTTTGCCCAGTGACGGGAGGGACTTATACTGAAAAACCCCCTAAGGAATATTTAATGCATCTATAGGGCAGGTAGAAATTTAAAATTTTTTTGAATTTTGTTTTTCTTAAAGGGCAGAAAAAGGCCGGGGAAATAATGAAAAAAACCTTGAAAATGTAAATTTAAAAACAAAAAACAAAAGTCCAGAAAAACAAACCCTTAAACTAGATTTTAAGTTCCGTCAGAGGAGGCAACGATATTACAGAATTGGGACAGAATTTGCGATATGAACACCATATCAAAAAAACCTTAAACCCCCCTTTCGATTTTTTGGTAAAGGGGCACGAACCTTCACATCGGGAGAACCTCACCCTCCCTATGAAAAAAAAGGAAAAGTTAGCTTGTGGGAAAACACTTTTACCCAAAGTTTATTGAGAAACTGCAAAATCCAATATCCAAATATTTGAGGACTGACAGATGCTTTTCCCCTTTTCTTTAAATTATAAAACCATGAGTAACCACAAAAGGCAAAAAACTCCTTAAAATATGAGGTCAGCTCCTGAAACCAAGGTTTTGGGGAAGGGACAGGGCTGAAAATCCCAAAAATTTTAAAAAGGGTTGTGACAAAGATAGTTTAAAGTCTTACAGTTTTTACAGCTTCTGTCAACAAAAGTGATAGCAAAAGAAAAACCTTTTCCCTTCATGTTAGGAGATTTCCTTATAGGGGAGCACTCTGTACATTTTTTTGTCAAAACAGAAAAAGTACAGTATTTAGGATCACACGGGGAAAAAACGAGAGATAAAATCTCATTTTGTGGCATGCAAAGAGTTGTTACAATTCATTCAGCGTATGTCACACCCCTATAGGCTGCCTTTTTAACAGCAAACCGGGTGCTAAAGGTTTAACGATTATAAATTTTAGGGTACCCCTCGTTAAAATCGTTTCCTTGGCTCATTTTCCAATCAACCCGGGGAGCCCGCCAAATGCTGGGGGAAAAGTTTTTGGTTTTTAATTGCAGTCCATTTGGCAGAATTACCTAAAGGGTCGTTTAGTAAAGGTGCTCCCCTCCCCTCTGGGTTTTTTCTTTTGTCCTTTTTGTCACCGTCGTGTGGTACACTTTCTATTCAATCTTGTACTATGTAAGTACTGTACACTAACCCGGGAACCCCCAAGGCGGGGCTACACTGCCCAACCCGGAGAGTGTACAAAGAAAATTTCACGGGACCATAATACGATAAGGCACCTAAACTACTGGGAAAAAGGTTTTTAAAGGGCCTTGATGTATTCCCTCGAATGCAGGGGAAAAGAGATACATTTATAATGTAACGTGGAAGGGCCTGGAGGGCTTGGACCAAAAATGCAACGAAAATGGGCCCCCATGAAAGCAGGGATTTCAACATTTCCCCCCAAAGGGAAAAACGGGGCGGGCCCCGTGTACACTGACAGAAAAACACCCAAAAAGTGTCCCCGGGGGCCCAAAAAACCCGTTTTAATTTTCTTCCCAGCATACATTTAAGGGGGGTTACCCAATTTGGGCCCCCGGGTGTCTTCAAGAAGGCATGGGGCAGGCACCTTAAAATCGTCTTTTACCAACCAGGGTGTGGTTTTGAAAGGGCAAAACTTTCGTGCGGCCAGCAGTAACAGCCTTTTTGACAGACCCGAACCACAAGGAGAACCCCAATTTTCCCCGAAACCCGGTTTCCCCGTGGGGGGTTAAAAACCCCCCAAACCCCTCCGGTAAACTCCAAGGTTTAAACCCCCCCGGTATATATCTGGAAAATTATAAACTGGTGGGAAGGAAAAAAAAAATCCAAGGGGCTATCTGCTGAGTTTGTTTTTCTCCAAAACCCCCTTTCAAAAAGGTCATGGCCCCCTTAAAAAAACCAGGGCACTGGCCATTAAAAACCGGTCACGGCCATTACAAACCCGGGAAATGGTAATTTTATTACAACCCGGGCATGGCCATTTCATTACAACCCCGGTCACGGTCATTCAAAATTTCAACCGGCACTGGCCTTTTATTTCAACCAAGGGCAAGGGCATTCATTTTCAACCGGTTCCCCTGGCCATTCGTTACAACCATTCACTGCCCCTTCCCTTACCAAAACCGGGGTTTCTGGCCATTTAAAACAACCCGGTCACTGGCTACTCATTTAAAACCCAAAGGGCCCTGGCCATTCATTTCAACCAGGTCACTGGTCATTACAACCAGGTCACTGGTCATTACAACCAGGTCACTGGTCATTCAGTACAACCAGGTCACTGGCCATTCATTACAACCAGGTCACTGGGCATTCATTACAACCAGGTCACTGGCCATTCACTACAACCAGGTCACTGGCCATTCATTACAACCAGGTCACTGGCCATTCATTACAACCAGGTCACTGGCCATTCATTACAACCAGGTCACTGGTCATTCATTACAACCAGGTCACTGGTCATTCATTACAACCAGGTCACTGGTCATTCATTACAACCAGGTCACTGGTCATTCATTACAACCAGGTCACTGGTCATTCATTACAACCAGGTCACTGGTCATTACAACCAGGTCATTGGCCATTCATTACAACCAGGTCACTGGCCATTCATTACAACTAGGTCACTGGCCATTCATTACAACTAGGTCACTGGCCATTCATTACAACTAGGTCACTGGCCATTCATTACAACCAGGTCACTGCCCACTACAACCAGGTCACTGGCCATTCATTACAACTAGGTCATTGGTCATTCATTACAACTAGGTCACTGGTCATTCATTAGAACTAGGTCACTGGCCATTCATTACAACCAGGTCACTTGCCATTACAACCAGGTCACTGGCCATTCATTACAACCAGGTCACTGGCCATTCATTACAACTAGGTCACTGGTCATTCATTACAACCAGGTCATTGGTCATTCATTAAAGCAGGTCACTGGCCATTCATTACAACCAGGTCACTGGCCATTCATTACAACCAGGTCACTGGCCATTCATTACAACCAGGTCACTGGCCATTACAACCAGGTCACTGGCCATTACAACCAGGTCACTGGCCATTCATTACAACCAGGTCACTGGCCATTCATTACAACCAGGTCACTGGTCATTCATTACAACTAGGTCACTGGTCATTCATTACAACCAGGTTACTGGCCATTCATTACAACCAGGTCACTGGTCATTCATTACAACCAGGTCACTGGTCATTCATTACAACCAGGTCACTGGTCATTCATTACAACCAGGTCACTGGTCATTCATTACAACCAGGTCACTGGCCATTCATTACAACCAGGTCACTGGCCATTCACTACAACCAGGTCACTGGCCATTCACTACAACCAGGTCACTGGCCATTCATTACAACCAGGTCACTGGCCATTCATTACAACCAGGTCACTGGCCATTCATTACAACCAGGTCACTGGCCATTCATTACAACCAGGTCACTGGTCATTCATTACAACCAGGTCACTGGTCATTCATTACAACCAGGTCACTGGTCATTCATTACAACCAGGTCACTGGTCATTCATTACAACCAGG